AGAAAATGAAAACAAGTCCACCAAAGCCAAAATATGACCTTGAATATTGTTGTTGTTGTTGTTGTTAGGTCCATCGAGTCTGTACAGACCCATAGCGACTTTATGCACAGCAGAACGAAACACTGCCTGATCCTGGGCCAACATCACAATTGTTGCCATGCTTGAGCCCATTGATGCTGCCAATTTGCCAATCCATCTCATTGAGGGTCTTCCTCTTTTTCTTTGACCCTCCACCCAACCAAACATGATATCCTTCTCCACTGATCCCTCCTTGACAATATGTCTGAAGTATGAGCCACAAAGTTTGGCCATCCTGGCTTCCAAGGAGCGCTCTGTCTGCACCTCTTCCAACACAGATCTGTTGGTACTTTTGGCAGCCCATAGCGCTTTCAATATTCTCCTCCAACACCATAAGTCAAAAGCAACACTTTTTCTATGGTTTTACTTATTCATTATCGAGCTTTTGCATGCATATGAGGTTACTGAAAATACCATGGCTTAGGTCAGGTGCACCTTAGTCCTCAAACTGACATCTTTGCTCTTCAACACTTTAAAAAGGTCTTCTGCATCAGGTTTGCTTAATGCAATACATTGTCTGATTTCTTGACTGCTGCTTCCATGAGAGTTAATAGTTGATCCAAGAAGAATGAAGTCCTTGACAACTTCAATCTTTTCTCCGTTGATAAGAATGTTGTTTATTGGTCCAGTGGTGAGGATTTTTGTTTTCTTTACATTGAGATGCAAGCCATACTGAAGGCTGTGCTCTTTGATCTTCATCAGTAAATTTTTTAAGTCCTCTTCACCTTCAACAGGCAAGGTTGTATCATCTGTGTATCACAGGTTGTTAATGAGTCTTCCTCCAATCCTCATGCTGCATTTTTCTTCATATAACCCAGCTTCTTGGTGGACTTTGAATATATCCCACCTGAATTTAGAGATCATCTGAAGAACAAATTTGATATATTAAACACTAAAGACTAGAGAGTTGTGGTATGACTTCAAGAAGAAAGCAAAAAGTCATTAAGTGACTGGAAAGAAGGAAAAGGTCAAAATGGATGTCAGAATAGACCATGAAACTTGCTCTCCAGAGTAGAGATGCTAAAGCAAATGGAAGAAATGAGAAGGTACAATAGCTGAACAGAAAATTTCAAAGGACAGCTTGAAAAGACAAATTCAAATATTACAACAAAATGTGCAAAGATCTGGAGTCAGAAAACCAAAAAAGAAGAACATGCTTAGCATTTCTCAAGCTGGGGGAACTGAAGAAAAAATTCAAGCCTTGACTTTCGTTATTGAAAGATTCTTTGGGCAAATTATTGAATGATGCAGAAAGCATCAAAAGACGATAGAAGGAATACACAGAGTCACTATACCAAAAGGAAATGGTTGGTATTCAACCATTTCAAGAGGTAACATATGATCAAGAGCCAGTGATACCGAAGGAAAAACTCTAAGGTGCATTGAAGGAATTGGAAAGAACAAGGCACCAGGAATTGATGGAATAAACTTTGAAAAGCATTCAAGAAAGTGAAGCGGCACAGGAGACATTTATTTGTCTATGCCAAAAAAATTTGGAAGACAACTATCTGACCGAATGATTGGAAGATATCTGTATTTGTGCCCATTCCAAACAGGTGACCCAACAGAATGCAGAAATCATCGGATAATATCTTTGATATCCCACGCGAGTAAAATTTTACTCAAAATATTACAGAAACAACTGCAAACATACATTAACAGAGAAATTCCAGAGGTTCAAGCCATATTCAGAAGAGGCCGTGGAACAAGGGATATCATTGCTGATGTCCGATGGATCTTGGCTGAAAGCAGAGAATATCAGAAAGATGTTTACCTGTGCTTTATTAACTACACAAAGACTTTCGATTGTGTGGATCATGACAAGCTATAGACAACATTGTAAAGTATGAGTATTTCAGAACACTTCATTGTGCTCATGAGGAATCTTTACCTGTACCAAGAGGCAGTTGTTCAAACAGAACATGAGAACACTGAATGGTTTAAAATTAAGAAATGTGTGCAACAGGGTTATAGTCTTTCACTATACTTATTCAACCTGTATGCTGAGCAAATAATCCAAGAAGTTGGATTATATGAAGAAAAACATGGCATCAGGATTGGAGGAAGACTCATTAACAACTGCATATGTAGATGATACAACCCTGCTTGCTGAAAGGGAAGAGGACTTAAAGTATTTACTGATGAAGATGAAAGACCACAGCCTTCGGTATGGATTGCATCTCAGTATAAAGAAACTGGACCAATAAATAACATTCTTATCAACGGAGAAAAGATTGAAGTTGTCAAGGACTTCATTCTTCTTGGATCAACTATTAACATTCATGGAAGCAGCAGTCAAGAAATCA